AATTCCCACTTGCTAATGCTAAATCTGTTTTTCTCTATCTGTGGCGGTCTGAAGGGAGGCTAGTCCATTACTTGGCATCCTTTATGTCTGGCCAGTTGTCACTTTGCCACCCTATTTACAATTTATGTTAAATAAAAATGGCTCTAACACATGAAAAGACTCCTTCCTACTTGATAAAATGACTTAAAGTCTAATTAAGTCCATTTAGAATAAATTATACCTCAATATGTAGATCCAAATTCTGGTTCAATTTCAGCTCCCTTAATTCTGTGGATGGTACATCACAATCTTGTTGAAGATGCTGTATGTTAATTAGCAATTCATTTCGCTTTTCCATTTCATCAATGAAATCCATTTCAAATTTATTGATGGTTTCATGGTGCTCTTCTTTTATCTTTGTGACACAGCTTAACACATACTTGCAGAAAAAAATTAAATTGGAAAATTAATTTTTTATCACATTTAGAGGAAATTTTAATACTTGAGACTATGAGGTAGGAGGATATTTCTGTTTTATCTAAATACTCTGATATGTGAGAAAGAAGGAAGGAGCATCTCTATTCCCAATTTTTTCTTCTCATCATCTTGGGAGAGTAACTTCCAGATCTCTACCTCTGTATTTCTGACTTCCTACTTGATATACCTCCTGGATGCTTTACAAGAACCTCCAATATGGTATTTTAATGTAATGTGATCCCTTTTCCTGTAATGATCTCCCCTTTTTGGTTAATTATATTGCCAATCACCCATGTTTCCTAGTTAGACACTTGAGATTCCTTTTCAACATCTTCTCTTGCCTGCCTTGACTGAGTAACCAAAAAGATGTTACATGCCTCAAAACTTCTGTGTTAAGCAGATTTAGATGTTTGACTTCAGGTGACAATAATTTGAATGACATGTATTACACGGACCTCATGAATAAGTTCTGGATGTCTGACTGCCAGGATCTGAGGAAGAATTACCAGGATCTGGGTCCAGTCCACTTAGCTAGGGCAGATAACTGCTCCCTAATTCCTCAACTTCTACCGTTCCTTAACCTTTTATAATTTGGCCCCTTCCTCAACCACCCAATTAAAACTGTCTGACAGTAGTCACCAATGAGCCCTATTTTCACCCAATTGAAAAGATATCAGCAGTCCCCATTCTGGCTCTCTGAAGTACGTGGCACCATTTCATCTGACATACCCTTTCCATTGACTTGGGTGATAGCCCTTTTACGCTGTTCTCATCTAGGTGACTTTTCCAATCTCAAACCCATGTATTGATTCCTTTTCTGCTATTGCCTCTTAGACATTTATCTTTTCCAGGGTTCTCTTCTTAGCCCAAAGCTCTCATTCTTCAAATGCTTTCTGGATGATCTTACACATGTTTTACGTGTATAATCTATGACCAATGTGTGGATGAATCTCAAATCTTAGTCCTGACTTTTCTCCTGCCAAATCTGAGAATCACACTAAATGCCTACTAGGTTTCTCTTCGTGGATGTCCCATTATAAGTATTTTACCCTCTCTTGCCTCACCCACCAAGCTTCTCTTCCTTTTTTATCTCATTAATGGTACCACGATCCTTAAACCTGACTAAGCCCAAATCTGGGGACTCCATCTAAATTCTTCTGCCTTACCTCTACTATCAATCATGTCAATCTACCATTTTAAGTTATTAAATATTTCTTTAGGCCCTTTTGTCCTCTCCATTCCTATGAAACCTTCCCTAGTAATAGTCACACATATTTCCTCCTCTGGACCACTGTCACTGATGCTTGTTTCTTCTTTCTGCCACTTGGCTTATCCCCCACAAACTCATTTCTTCTTTATTCTGTACTGAAGTACCTCAATGGTCATCTGATCCTGTTCACTGCTACACTTGAAATAACTGTCCAACGATTCCCTGTCATCTACAAAATAAAGTTATGTGGGGAACTTGCAAACTTTCCTTTCAAGATTGTTCTTTTTTTAAACATCAAAGGAGGTAAGAAAAGCTTCATGTTTCTCTGCTGCACCCCTGAGATCTTTAAGATGTCATTCACATCTGCCTCCTGAGCATGCTGACAGGGGCTAGACCCACAGGCAGAGCTCAGGTTTCGTTGAATCAACAAGTATCAGGTATACTGAAGAGCCTGCATGTATTATTCACAGACATATGTAATATTTAATTTGGTAATAAACATAAAATAGCAACTATGCCAGCACCCATACATAGTAGAACTTAAATACATTGATGTTTGTACCTGAAATTTACAGCAATATCTACAAAGCTATTACAAAGAAGAGTAGTACCTTAAGTTTCTTCATGACTCTGTGGAATTCCATGGGACATCTCTGGTTTGCAGTGAGAAGTTTTTGAATCTGTTTGGCTTGTGAATATGGAAGTGAGAGGTTTTCTTTTACTCTAATTGAAAGCTCTTTTTGGGTTTCGATTTCTTTCTCCAAGTCAAGAAACCATCTATTTAAGCATTCATAGTGATTATCCATCTCTGAGTACCTCTTCAGAAGCTCCTAAGGGAAATTAGAATTCATTCCACTTAACAATTCACCTAAATTTAACAATAAGCAGTTCCAACCCTAGAATTTTAACAAAATGTATGCTTTAACTTTTTGTTGTAGAAGAGAAATAAATTAAGACCTTTATGTTTAAAAACAAAGAGGAAATTGCTATTTTTGATTCTGGAATAAAGAAATAATATACAATTACAGTGAAAACTTAAAAAAATTTAAGCAAATATAACAAAGAAAACCAGGAGCAGCCATTGTTATCATTTTGATGCATTTTCTTTTAGTCTTTGAATATCCATATTTTAAATGAACATTGACAAAGTTTGATGAGAAATGTGAGTGAATTCAATCTGGCACCTATTGTAGCTCAAGGCTGAATGGAGGCTTATGTTGA